CACGGATGTGGAAGTGGGAAGAAACAGCCCCCTCCCTTCCCAGGCCTCTCACACGCAGGGCTGACCTTATCAGCGTGTTCCGTATGATATTCTAGTAGAAAATCCTATTGAGATACCTTCTGGGAGGAGGAGACACAGCGGTGATTAACGGCCTCTGTGAAAGATAAACACAAGTGCAGCCCCGCCTTTCCCAGGAGCTGCAGGTGTTTTCTCAGCGCCGGGGAAAATCCCAGAACCAGTTTCAAGGTGAAAATCCCAGTTCCCAGGAGTGAGCACGCTGGGCTGAACTCAGACATATATTGCTTGTATTGGTGTGCCTGGCCGGTAGTAACAAAACAGCACAGATTGGGCGACAGTCACCCCTCACCGTCCCGGAGACTGGGGAGACCAAGATGAGCGCTGGCCAGTTCAGTTCCTGGTGGGAGCTATCTTCCTGGTTTGTCCATGGCTGCCTTCTCGCCGTGTCCTCCTGTGGCAGGGCCAGAGCGAGCCTGGTGTCTCTTCCTCTTCTTATAAGGACATTCATCCCATCAGGAGAGACCCTCCCTCGTGGCTTCATCTAAACCTACAACCCCGAATCTCAACACACTGGGGATTAAGGCTTCCACGTGTGAGGGTGGGGATGGAGGGGAGACACAATTTGGCCCATGGTATTATTTACAACAAATTCCTACTTATTCCTCTTTCTTCTGTTTTTTTTTTCTTGTGTTTTTTTTTTGTTTTGTTTTTTTGTTTTGTTTTTTGTTAATCCTAACCTGAGGATTTTTTTCCCTTCATTTTTTTTTTTTTTTTTTTTTTTTAGAGCGAGTGGAAGGGAGGGAGGGAAAGAGAGAAACATCGATGTGTGAGAAATATCAATGTGAGTGAGACACATCAATTGGTTTTGGGGGATTGTGTTGGGAGCCGAGTCCCCTGCTGACTTGAGAATCGGGGGATGGAGCAAGGGTAGGTAGCCCTGCCTGCTCTCCCCCAGAAGTCGAGTCACTTGGGGACGTGGCAAGCAACAGTGTCCTTCGTTCTGCTGTGCGTGCAAAATTGGAATCTGCAAACATGTCCTTGAATTAACATAGCAGAGTACAGCTGGATGAACTTTCCTAGGCAGCTATCTCCCTGTGTAGGTCTTAAGGAACTGGCATGTAGCCATCATGCCCTGAGAGAAGGCCATTTGAAAGAATGCCCAGCTTCAGGGTATAAAAGAGTTTGCGCCTTTAATAAACTTGCTGCAGTGCCATTGAGCATTCCAGCCTTCCTGAAGCCCTTCTGTCTCTTGTCTTTTATTTCTAAGCCTCTTAGCCCGATCTTCAGGACCTGCAGTACTGGCTGGTTCCGGTAGGATTGAACCTGCAATCCAGGTACCGGGCCTGTCTCCGCACAGAGGCGGTTGTCCCACCCTGCTACATACTCCGAGGGCGCCGCAGCCCTCCCAGTCCTCGCTTGGTCCTCAGAGAACATCGCTGTGAACTCTTTGTGAGCACCTAAGGCCCTGTACAAGGACACAGGTCCACAGGAGCTACCCCCAAAAGTACTAAGTGGCCCTGCCACTTCCTTAAGTTTCCTGTGGTTGTGTGGAGCCAGCAATGATATCCCACCAAAGCATCTTGTGGAGACTACAAGGTTATTTCTCACCTCTGCAATGAGACTGGCTTTTGGAATGTTCCTTTGAGCACATTTGAGCCCTCTTTACAGAGGGACAGAGGCGGACAAAATCACTCCTTTGGTCTCTAGGTGAACCCCGAAGTGCTTGTAGAGAACGCTTCAGTAGATTAAGCTTCTGTGAGAGACTCACTGCACTGCTGCCTGACACAACCGGTCCATGAAAGCCCCGGGGATGGCTCTCCGTCAGGGCACAGGGCCTCCTGAGAACACTGACAATAAAAAGGTCTGACAGCACAAGAACACTCTGTTCCCAGCAGTGGCCAAGGATGTACAAAATTAATTAGAAAACAAAGCCTTAAATGACGACAAGCTGTCCAGTGCCTGTGTTTGCATATGTGTCTCGGGGTTCGTAAGGAATCACAGTCTGGGTTACATACCCCTTCAAATCACTGACGACAACGGCAGCAAAATACTGCTCTCGGAGAGGCTGGCTTTGGTGGGCACTTAAACACTTAGGAAAAAGTCTTTGTCTGTCCTTTTAATGTTATAGAATGTAAAAATTTTATAGAACATGTGACAAATTAGTTCTGTGAATGGAAGGTACTGACATATTTTGCTTGATAAAACTGAATTAGAAAGCTAATATTTTAGTAAGAATACACTTTTCAAAGCATTTTCACATGCACTAGGCCACACACGTTCCTCACAACCACCACCGGAGGAAGGAAGTGCTGATGCTGTTATACCCATTTCACAGCTAAGGAAACAGAGGCTGGTTTATAGTGAGATGGCCAAGGCCTTGACCATTTAGTACACCTTTTTCAAAATCCCCAGACCAATGGTAAACCTTCTCTCATTTTGTGTGTGGGTTGAGGGTGAGTTTAGATGCCAGAGACCAAAGCCAATAGCAGTTAGCATATTAATGCAAAAAGAATCATTGGAAAGCCAATGATTCTTTTTGCAAGACTTTGATATTCAGCAGGGCTGAAAATCATAATATCGATGACTCATAGCAATTCCCTAACCGGATAATCCTTTTTACTGTTTACCAAACTTTACCTTTGATATGCCTGTATGCATTGCTAAAGGAAAAATGTGTATTCAAGTAAATAAAAAGCGGACCAGGCCAGAAGTTGGTGTGTCTCTTCAAGAAAGAGGCTCCCTCCTGGCCCCCAATACCTTCTAAATTCATATTTCTTGTATTAGCATTTTTTTCTTTAAAAAAAATATTTTATTGATTTTTTACAGAGAGGAGGAGAGAGGGATAAAGAGCTAGAAACGTCAATGAGAGAGAAACATCGACCATCCGCCTCCTGCAACCAATGCACATGCCCTTGACTGGGATCGAACCCGGGACCCTTCAGTCTGCAGACCAACGCTCTACCACTGAGCCAAACCAGTTTTGGCGCATTAGCATTTTCATTTGTGCATTGGCTCCTCCTTCAGATCCTGAACTTTGATGCAGACATCAGGTACAGATAAGGGAACATAAGGTGAGGCCACAGTCTGGCCAAGGTCAGAGAATAAAAATAAATAATTTCTAGATTTCTTTATATTATGGCTTTCACCAAAGTGTGGATTTGACCTATGGAGACAAATTCTGTCATTTCTGAATTTCTCCCTTTAAAAAAAAAAAAAAAATCTGCATAATCAAAGCAACTTAATATCCTCTAAAAGAATTTGCTTCCAGCACTATTCATTCTATTTTGTAAATAGTCCTTTTTGACATGTGAGCACTTAGCACAGACTAGAATTCTGTAAATGTTCACCTTAAGAAATCAAGAGACCTATCAATTCTTGGGAACACTCATTTATTATATTTAGAAGGGCAGAGCCACAAGAATATCAGTCTCCCTTGAAACCAATTTTGTTTCAAAAGACACTGCTGAGAGGCTCAGGGGTTTTCTCCTTCATGAAAGTGTGCGGCCGTGGGCCATGTTAATAGCACCTGAGCTGAGGTGATGCATTTCAATTTACGAGTATTTACTGTCTTCTGAGGCCTGGCAGCAGTATCAATAGCACTGTTGGTGAGTGGGAGGCGGTTGGTGCGGGTCTGGCCAGCCCGCCAAGGTTTCAAGCGCATGCATTCTCACTGATGTCAAGGATGCCTTCTCCTCTCTGTGGCAATATCTGTAGTGACTGCAACCTGCTGGCTGGCATCCTAGGAACCTCTGGTCAATTTCAGTCAGTAGCAGTTTCTTTCGAAGGTCCTGTCCACTCATACTCCTTCCTTTGGGTACTAGCCCCCAACAAAAGCCCTCATTGAGAGCTGGCCCCTCGGGGACCACATGACTCTGCCTCCTTGCTGTAGCTGGTTGGATAGACACCTGACCCAAGGAAAGTCCTTTCTGGTGTGTGGCCGAAGGAATGGATTCAGTTTTTAACTTCACATTTTAAGATAATATCTGTTATTTTATTTATTAAACACAGAGTATCTGGGTGTTGTGTAGAAAAAAAAAAAAGCAGCTTATTTATCTGTAATCAATATTTAAATCTTTGATCCATTTCCCAAATTTCTGCCTGCTAGAGAGGCATTTCCTGTAGTCAGGTATTTAAATCCCTTTCCATCTCCATCTGCACTCTCAGAAGTTGTTTTTTTAACCACAAATCTAACCACATTCTATCCATTCTTCCATCAAGATTGCTCAGAAATTACATGTCCTTCTGTTGAATTCCTAAATTAATAAATGTACCATACAATTTGTCTTGGATCCAGAGAATTGAGTCTTACATAATCCAGTCTGATCTGGACAGCTCAGGCTGCCATAACTAAGTACCATAGAGTAGGTGGTTTATAGACAACAGAAATGTACTTCTCACAGTTTTGGAGGCTGCAAGTTCAGACTGGGGTGCCAGCATGGTGGAGTTTTGTTGGAGACTCTTCTGGATGCAGACTGCCAACTGATTATTTTATCCTCACAGGCAGAAAAGAGGGCATCCCTTTTATAAGGGCACTAATCCCATTCATGTGGGCTCCACCCTCATGACCTAAGTACCTCCCAAGGCCCCACTTCCTAATACCATCACATTGGAGGTTAGAATTTCAACATATGAATTGGGTGGGGGGAGGGCACACACGTTCAGCCCATTGCACACCATGGAGGAGACAATTCCTGCTCCAATTACACTGCCCTCTCAGATCACAGGTACCAGGACACACAACAGATGTTTAGACATTTTCCTGAACCTCGGGATTGCCTCCCCAACACAGAGCAAGGAATCTGCGGCCTCCCAGGGACACGTGGTCACGGCCCCTCTGGCTGCCTGTTTGGGGCCATGGCATTGAGAGGGATACACCCCTAGTCCTGAGCAGCAGTTGAGAACACCATTTCCTTGGCAGCATTCTCTAGAAAATGCCGAAATGTATTATATTTCTTTTCAGACTGCAGGAAACTCACGTCAAAACGAGTTCCAAAAAAAAATGTTTATTATGCTACAAAGGCATTGTCCTCTAGACACTTTATCTGAAGTTCTTTATACATTCCATCATCTTTTTTTTTTTTTTTTTCCCCCTTCACAGGAATATAGGGAATGTCTCAGGTGACCCTTGCCTACTTTTGAAACCTCCTAGCATAGTTCAAGAAACCACAGACAAGCATGCAGGCAGCGTGGTGAAATGGGAAGCACGTTGGGTCATGAAGCAGCAGGCGTGGGCCGGGGCCCTGGGCGGGTCACTCCAGTTCTCGGGACTCTGCTGCCTTCTCCAAGGTCACCACCGCCGTCCTGTGGCTTCTCCCGCTGTCCGGAGGGTCACGAGGACCACAGAGCCTCTGGGCTCTCTCCGAACTCTATTTTCACTCCCACGAGGCACCTCTGAACATTTGCCTTTTCTCTGAGCCAGCTTCCCAGGGATCTGTCCCATCCACGGGGTCAGAAGACTCTTCCGAGAAGGGACCCCATCTTAGTCACAGGATATCAAACCATGGTGGCTGTCAGCCCACTGGGTGGGAACCCATGAGCAGACGGACCTCTTTTCAACATAAGGTGTCTAATTTAAAGGAGGGATTGATGAAGCATGCTGCGTGTTCAGTTGTCTCAGTTGACTAACTCAGTATTTCATGGGTTCTGTCAAGGCCGCAATGATTTGTTTCTCATCCTCTTAGCAAGCTGGGGCCGCAGGCTCATTCTCTGTACGTTACTGGCACGTGTACAGCTCAGCCACTGTCTCAGAAGCATGTGCATATAGTTTAATTACACTAAGGTCTTAAAACTTTATGTCCACATATAACATTTTCCAGGCATTGACCAAGCAGACAAAGCATTGGGCTGATGTCATTGCACTGATGAAATATTAATATTATTGATAAGGCGGGACGATGTAGCTGACTCTTTCAGACTCATACCATTTGCATGGAAAGGCTGAGTTTCTTTGGCTCTTTGTTCATTCAAGTGCATTGAGTACCAATTCAGATAGACTTAGGCATTGTATTAATCGGTCCATAAAATCTTACACTGTCCATAGTGTTTTGCAAGCTGATTTAGGTTTTTGGATTACAACAACTCGCCATTGGTAGAAATATACCATATATTTTATATATATACACATGGAAATTACAAAAATACATTTTATTTATAGCTGATTTTTTTTTAAAGTAACAAAAAGCTAACACTATGAAAGATCAGCCAGCATACCAAAAGACACTACCTAACGTCATCCGGACAAGAGGCTTGTCTGGGACTTCCCTGACACGTCACCTCCGGAACATCCCAGAAAGAGCCACTGGCCATCGGCAAATAAAAACCGCTTCTTTTGAAAAGTCTGTGCTTTGACAGTCGAATCTCCCATTCTAATCAGTCCCACTCCCACTCCTCTCTCATCTTTTAAATTGATACCTTCTCTTGGTCAAGACCAAAGAAACTCGTGAGGAGAATGGAAAGATGGGCTCAGGGAATGGATAGAGCTGAAGTGAGATGGATCTTGAGTGAAGGTAGGACAGGCCCTTGTTCTCCAACAGATGCCAAGCGAGCCCTCCGAGTCGGGGAGGGGACCCGCGTTTTCTCCCCGAGGCCACCTGAATGCAGTCAGCAGCTGTTCCGGCTTGGGGCCGACTGTGCCGCAGGTGCGTCCGGGCTGGGGGACACAACATTAACCCCATAAGATCAGGTGATTCACATCACCCCCACAAGGCCAGTCAGCCCAGCCGTTTCAGCCAATGTCCTCCAGTGTCTGTTAACCACAGGGGTGGGGGAAAAAGGGGCCTGGCTACCTCCATACACTTTTCAAAATGGTATTTACATTTACACGTAAATCAACGGATTTTTTACATTCAGAAGCTTCTAGGAACAGAGGCTGCGGGCTGGGGAGGCTGGACTTCTAGCAGGCATCCATCACTAGTTTCTTTTGTGTCATGGGCAGCCCAGGCTGGACGTCATTGTGGAAAAGACAGAGATGTTTCTCATAAAAGTCACTGATGTATCTCTTATCCCAGACAGAGAGGAGCTTCATTCTCAGGCCAAAGAAAAAGCTCCACCAGGAGCTGCTTTCCTTTTGCAGGACCCTGAAAGCTCTGAGCACCGCTGCTCTTTCCATTGGATCCCGGCTCACAGGGTACTCCGGTTCCAAAATGACAACGCCTTTTCAAACACCTGTCAACGCAAACCAACCACTCCCTCTCCTCTCCTCTCCTTCCTGGCCTTTCTTAATGGGGGTGCGGGAGAGGGACAGTCATTGAGAGCACTGGTTTTCACCCGATGCACCTGACTTTGAATAGGATCTCTAAACGACAAGAACTCGGGTTTCTTGGCTGGAGTCAGGGCCTCCCTTCTAGACAGGAGGTGATTGTAACGAGGAAAGTCATGGCTGAATGAGAGAGTAGTCTGGTGCGTCATCACACGCCTGCATTGCCTTTAACACAGAGACAGTGAACATGCAGGAGTCACCAAAGACAGAGCCATGGCCTCCACCTTCTGGCCATTTATTGAAATGTGGCATTGGACAGGAACCCGTGGCTTAGTTAGTGTCTCTCCCGACGAAGGCTTCATAGGGAAATACACTGGCAGTTTCAATATAACAGAACACCAAGCGTACGGCCCCAAGCAGGGACCTCTTGACATACAATCAGTTGAAGAGGCCGATACTCCAGTCATCCAAGGGTTTCCTCTGTTTCCCAGAAGCCCCACGGTTCACCTTTTCAGAAACTAAGGATGAGGGAGACTCACCCACTGTCTGTGCCTCAAGTCCCAATGCAGAAGGCTGGAGAAGCCCGAGGACTGTGTCCCCAGAGCCTGGAAGCACCTCCTTTGGCGAAGGCATTAGACCTGGAACTCAAACATGTCCGTCTGCTTCTTGGCCAGCTTGGCCACCTCCTCCCGAATGGCCTTCACCAGGGCCGCCGTGGAGATGTTGGTCAGGGGGGTATCGGGAGGGTCGTTCTCTGCCAGGCTCTGCTGAGAGGCCGCCGCGGAGGGCACGGGGCCCTGCTCCAGGCTGGGGTGCAGGCCGGCCGGCTGGCTGTACTGCCGAGGCAGCCTGGAGGGGGAGTTCTGCTGGTAACGGGACCGGGGGTAAGCCTCGATGTACCCTGGGAGCGGGACCTGCAGAGGATGTCGGGAGACAGAGGAGGGGCCTGGGATTAGGAAGGGGCTCGTTATAGGATGCACCTGACGCCCGAGGCAGGAGGGAAGAGATTAGGAAGAAAATGGAGGCCAAGTGCCATTTTCAAAACCCAGAGTCAGACCGATTGGAAAGTAGGTAATCTGAATATTCTCACCGGATATGCTGGTGGGAACATACCTGCATCCGCATGTGAATCTACGTGGCTAGCTTTTTAATATAAGCAGAATCCAGCGAACAGAAGTTTGTTATAATCCAAAAATTAAGAGTACTTTGAAGGTATCTGATGGGGGAAATAATCCTACAAGCCACCAGGGACCTTCTTACAGATGTCATTATAAATATCTTTTTATTGATTTTTTACAGAGAGGAAGGGAGACAAATAGAGAGTTAGAAACGTCGATGAGAGAGAAACACCGATCAGCTGCCTCCTACACACTCCCCACTGGGGATGTGCCCACAACCAAGGTACATGCCCTTGACCGGAATCGAACCCCGGAACCTTCAGTCTGCAGGCCGACACTCTATCCATTGAGCCAAACCGGCCAGGGCCAGATGTCATTTTAGTATAGTGATGGATAATAATGATGCTGAATCATTGGCTAACGACAAATTCAATTATGCTCCTCTTTTAAAGAAGAGGGCGGAAGGATAGAATTCATTCCAGAATTTTAAAAATGCAAGATGGCCTCTATTTTAAAACATTTTAGAAATTCGAGGGGTAAACTTTGATCACCAGGAAAATTAATATATGTAGAATAACTTCACCCTTGATGATGTCACTTAGATCAGACATCACTACAATAAGAATAGACACCAGCTGAAACTGGTTTGGCTCAGTGGATAGAGCATCGGCCTGTGGACTAGGGGGTCCCAGGTTCAATTCCAGTCAAAGGCACATCCCCAGTGGGGATAGGGGTGCAGGAGTCAGCTGATCATGTCTCTCTCTCATCAATGTTTCTAACTCTCTATCCCTCTTAATTCCTCTCTGTAAAAAAAATCAATAAAATATATTTTAAAAAAAGAATAGACACCAACTGTGAGGTTGAATTGAATCTGTAAGGGTGGAATGTGTGAAACCCAGGAGGGATCCAGGCCTTGGGTGTCAACACATTTCCTAACTCTAGAATGCTGAGACCAAACCCTAACGCGACATACAGTATTGGGTGCCCTCGGGGCCAGCCCAGAGAGCCAGTCTTCCTTGTTTTTTGTAATTTACATTGAGGCAGTCTTTCTTATCCCTGTTGGATGGATTCACACAGAGGGGACTCCCCACTCTAAGGGCCATCCATGTGCTGTTGTTTTTTTTCCCCCCTTGTTTTTTTGTTTGTTTGTTTGTTTGTTTGTTTATGTTTTCCACTTAGCAGCCCTTGACAGGTGGCTCCGAGGCTGGTCTGGGTGTGGATATCTGGGCCACAACCCCTAGTCATCAGGACAGGAGAAACCAGTCCTTGGCTGAAAGTCATGCAGGAAGCTTTAGGGGGGGCATGCGAAGTAATTCGGTCTTTAGTTTCTAATACTTCACGTTCTGGTATTTCATGTAAACATGTTTTTACAGAATTTTAAAGCTAAAAGGAACATCTTTAAAAAACACTTTAGAAGCCAGACAGAGGCAGGTTTGGATCCTGGCCTTAGCACTTCACAAAAGTTGGGTGGCTTTAGTTTAGGGACTAATTGTCAGCAAAATGGGACTAACAACCCCTACCTGATACGATGGCCGTGAAGATTAAATGAGAGCAGAGAAATAAAATATCTAACATGGTACCCAGCCCATAGAGAATATCCCCCAAATGGCAGTCCTTATAAACATTCCTTTGATTCAGGAGGAGGAAGAACCTGGCAGGTCTCACGTTCCTCTGTCCACGGTCACCCCCTCTTACCACGTCTCCTTTAAGACGGCTGCCGTTAGCCGGCTGGATGGTGGGAGGAGGAGATAACAACCCCCTTGTCTCCACCTCTCCCCCCTCTGCTTCCTGAAGCGTGGCAGGCAGGGAACGTGGTGGGGAATCAGCAAGGGTCTTACCGAATCGGCCCACTGGCTCGGGAGCTCGCTCTCTCCCGCGTAGGACATCCAGGCCTGGCTCCGGTAGGACGAGGGGGGCGTCGGGATGAAGTAGCCGGTGAAGCCCGGCCTGTTGGCAGCTGGGATGGCGAACACTGCGGGCACCGTGTTGCCTGGCATGGAGGAGATGGGTGGGAGAGATTAGGCCAGTGCCTCACCCACTCAGCTGACGTTTGCACAAGCTGAGGAAGCTGGAGAACAGGGGGTTGTGGGGGGGGGGGGGTGTCTGGCATTGGGGGAGTTGGTATTGGGGGAGCAGCAGACCTCCACCTGTAGCCTCACCCTTGTTCGCTGCCCAGACAGTAGGAAAGGCACGATCTGCCGACTCAGCCTGTCTTTCCAGAGAACGGATCGCTCACCTCCCCTGGCTGAGCCCTCTCCGCCTCCCCCACCCGCAGCCCAACGCCTCAGACCTGCTGACAAGAGGAAAGGGCACCTCAGTGTCCCGGGGTCGCCCTCTCAGGAGGCAGGGTGTTTTTAAAGAGCCAAGAGAAGAAACCAAAAGCAATGGATATCTCCCCCCCGCCCCCCGTGGAATATCTGGGCACAGTGAATGCTTTAATAAGCGTTGACAACTGGGTGCTTGCAGGTTTAGCCTAAAAGGTAAGGTTTGCATGAACACAACATCATTCAGGGCAGGTTACAGACCTCCATGTTCACTTCAACGCTGTTGGTAATAATAAAAAGCTGGACACAACCACTATGTCCCTCCCTAGGGGAAAGGATCTGCTGTGGCAGATCCCGGAAGAGCAGGTCACATGGCAGGTTAAAGGAATGGACTAGATAGATGTGTACCCAGCAACCGGGGGTGGGGGGTGGGGTGGGGGGGGTGCTGAGTCAGTGAACAAAGTGCAAGAGGAAACGGACAGCTTGACCACACTGATGCAGATGTCAAGTATAGAAAGCATGAATATATGCCAGCGATTCCCCCCAGCGTGCTGCACCGCACGGTGCGCTGTAAGAATGTTTAACACACATGATACCTGGCTATTTCGTCAGGAGCACTGACCTCTTTTCCCTTAGATGGCCAAATTTAAAAAAAATGACGGCAGCCAACACAGAAATAGCTGTCTGGTGCGAACGAATCCAAATCAGCAGAATACGTTTATTTTGGTGTGCTGCAGAACTTTAGTCTGTGGGTGCCATGAGATGAAAAAGTTGAAAACAGCGGATATATACCTAAGACTATGATGACCTTTGGGGAGAAGGATCGTCATCTGTTATGCTTTTAAAAACATCATTTTCAAAAACCGGAAATCTGGCAAAATGTTAACATATACCCTGACTGAAACATATCTTAATATGTTGTCAGATTTCAGATCTTTTTGAAAAATAAAAGGAGCAGCTTTTGGATTCCTGAGGGCGGCAGGTAGAAGGTAGAGTGTGGATATTGGGTGTGTGTGTGTGTGTGTGTGTGTGTGTGTGTATTGGTGTGTGTGTGTGTGTGTGAGGTGGGGACCAGGGTCCGATGCAGGCTCTTCCCTTGCCCACCTGAGTAATTTAAAGCTGACTGATCCAACTGCGCCACGGACACGGGGCCTCTGGACACCTGCGTAAAGGAGGCGCTGTCATGCAGATGGGCCGGCTCGGGCCCGGTGGACTCGGCCATCCGGGTCTTGCTGCCAACGTCGGAGGTGGACCTGGGGGGGCAGAGGGGCTACGTTAGCCGCTTCTGGACCATGGCTGGCTGGGCAGTCACCTTGAGGAACCGCAGCAGCCTCCAAGCCCCACAAATTCATCGTGGTGGCCCAAGCTGGAGACATTTTAAAAAATATATATTAAAATATATATATTTTATTGGTTTTTCACAGAGAGAAAGGGAGAGATACAGAGAGATAGAAACGTCAATGAGAGAGAAACATCGACCAGCTGCCTCCTGCACGCCCCCTACTGGGGACATGCCCGCAACCAATGTACATGCCCTTGACTAGAATCGAACCTGGGACCTTCCAGTCTGCAGACCGACGCTCTATCCACTGAGCCAAACCGGTTTCGGCGACATTTTTATTTTAAATATATTTTTATTGATTTCAGAGAAGAAGGGAGAGGGAGAGAGAAAAATATCAATGATGAAAGAGAATCATTGACCAGCTGGCTGCCTCCTGCATGCCCCACACTGGGGATGGAGCCCACAACCTGAGCATGTGCCCGACCGGAAATCAAACCATGACCTCTGGTTCCTAAGTCGAAGCACAACCGCTGAGCCATACTGGCCAGGCATTGGAGACATTATTAGATATTCAAGGTCAGTATCCCCTTGAGGGTGGCTCTTATGTCTCTGGGGAGTTCAGAACTTAATTTCAACATAAAATTAAACGAAGCAATTAGCGCTGAGTATTGTCTATCTGAGAAGTGATGACATCATCAACAGCCAATGAGAAGGCTCCATTTGAAGAGCCAGAGTGCCCCCTCCCCTCCTGACACCAGGATGGGGGACCCAGAGGGCCATGGGGACCAGTTACTGGCAGGAGCAAGATCCCCAAGACTCTGGGAAGCTCCTGGCACAGGAGCCGAGCACGTGGGCACTTCCTGGGCATGGTGAATAGGAACACATTTTTTTTTTTTCTGTCCCAGACAAGCAGAGAATCTGGCCCATTTAACACATTGTATTTCCACCAAGTGCTCAGAAAGCCAGGAGGGCAGCCTGGGCTCAGAGGCCTCTCCCATGGTTACAGGATGCTTTAGCCACAGAGGCTTCAGGCTGCCCTATCATCAACATGGCAGGGAGGCAAAGGAAGCCACAGCAGCTGGAGGCTGCCAGCCACAGGCCACCCTCTAAGCCACATGTGTCAAACACAAGGCCCGCGGGCCAAATCCGTCCTGCCAGGCCTTGCAATGTGGCCCGCACCTCGCTGTCATCACTGCACTCCGCTGCGTTTCCATCACAATGACAGTTTATGACTGTTCAGTAAACCATTCGGCCCGCGATTTAGGCTGGATTTTAGATTTTGGCCCCTTCTCTGATTGAGTTCGACACCCCTACTCTAAGCAGAGATAAAAACTATTTGGTTTGTAGAGAGGGTGGTGACCTCCTATTTGGCGAGGATGGCAGGCAGTGTGGAAGGACAGGGGAGACAAGTGGTTGAGAGAAGAGATGAAATAGATGCTGGGTTTTGGCAAGCCTACCACAAAGGGTGGATGTGAGGCTCCTCCCAGCCAGAACCCTACAGAGTAACTGAGCGAGGGTAGCTGCTGGAGGCTCGGCCGTGTGGGGCGGGTCTCCCTTTCTTTCTCAATCCCTCCCTCCTTCTCTGCCTGGCTCACTCCCCAGCCCTGGCCTCCCTCACACTGTTCCCAGAACCTGCTACTCCTTCAGAAAACCCTTCCCAGGAGAATGCCTGCATCATCCACTTGGTGCTCTTTGAGGAATCCCAGAGCCTCTGAGAACAGTTAGGGTGCTGCTCTCATCTTACAGATAAGGAGCCAGGGACCAGAGGGGCGAAGCAACTTGCCTGGAGTTACACAGCATGTTCCTGGCTAGTCAGATGGAACCCTGGTCTGCTGCTTCTCACCGGACCCTGAGCTTGGCTGGGGCCACGGGGTGGGGTCTACACACAGCCAGAGAGTCTAAGCCTCTGGGATTGAGGGCAGGGTTGCCTCTAAGGGAAAGCCATTTTGGTGTTTTTTGTTGTTGTTGTTTTCATAAAATTCAAACCTGTGGTCCACAGACAGGGTGTGACTAGTGTGTTGGGAGAGGCTAGGGTCAGAAGGCCAGGGCAGAGGCCTGTTCAAACCCCTGGGACCAGTTGTTTCTCCCAGCCCTGGACAACCCGATGAGTATTTTGACCTCCCATAGTGCTCACTGCCTTTGTGTTTCTCATTTATCTTTATTAAAAACAGGTGCTGCCCTGGCTGGTTTGGATTAGTGTTTAGAATGTTAGTCCACAGACTGAAGGGGGGTTCGATTCCCAGTCAGGGGCATGTACCTGAGTTGCAAGTTCAATTCCCGGCTCCCGTCAGGGAGTGTAGGAGGCAACCAAACTCTCTCTCTCTCTCTCTCTTTAAATCTATGGAAAAAAATACCCTTGAGAGACGATAGGAAAAACAATAACACAAGCATGTGCTTTTTATATCACAGGGCAAAGGCAACATATCTGAGTTCATGTGCTTTCAGCCTCTCTCTCTTGGGAGTCACGAGTTGGGGTGAGCACTGAGACGCATTGGACACCGCTCCTAATAACAAAGGGGCATGCACACATGACAGGAAGCAACCAGACGTGAGGCAGCTGTTGTGGCAGCCCCCGCTGGGGCAATATTTACATGTTCGAGGTCAGAGACGGAGCTTCCGGGGCATGGGGCAATGACACTGGCTTTCTTCCCTTGTGGGCTCTCCAGGACTTTCTATTTACAATGACAGGGAAGCCGGTTAGCCCTCTCTGTCCCCCACGTCCATCATGGTACTCAGGTGCCCCAGGCACATGGCTGTCTGTATGGTGATGCACCAGAATGGGGCTCGGCATGCAGGAAGCCTGTCAGTTCGGGGTGCACAGGTCCAAATCCTTCCCAAATATGCCAAACAAAGCAAGCACAGGGAAGCATTACCGCCTGAGAGAAGCGACCGCCACGGGGCCAGTCCGGGGAGGTACAGGCGGAGGCGGAGAGCCCATGACCATTTCAGGAAGCTGGGAGAACCTGTAGGCCTGTGAAAGAAACAAGCAAACAGAGGGAGATCTGTTAACACCCAGGGTCAGCCAACACAGAGACCCTTCTTATTTAAAATGGAAGCAAATTTCGGAGGGGCAGGCTTTTCGTCCTTCCTCAAACTTCCCCCTTAAGATATTCCTTAAGATGTCCCCCAGCCCCCTCTTCTATCTCATCTCCTATCACCGTCCCCTTTGCTTAGGCCACTGTGGTCACAGAGTCCTTCGACTGTTCTTTGCAAAGGTGCTCTTGGCAATTGAATACTCCCAGTTCTTTCCCGCCTGGGCTTTTGTACATGGTGCTCCTTCTCCCTGGTGTGCTTTTAATGTAACTTGTTTATTATCTGCCACCAACCTAGACTGTAGAGGGCAGAGACTTTGTTGCCAGCTAGCTTCTTGAGCCTGGAACAATGCCTGGTATATTAAAGGCAATCCATAAATATTAGATGAATGAGCCACTGCTTGCATTTTGCTTTCTCACTCATGGAAATGAGGTATAATCGGGGGAAAGCAATGGGCTTGGAGTCAGGAGGTATGGGTGGAGGGCCTCGTTTGCTGATGAATAGACTTTATGTCCCTAAGCAAGACAGGTGACCTCTCTGGGCCTCAGTGTTCTCTTTTGAAATGGAGAAAAGACGCCTTGCTCAGAGGGGTACTGCGAAAATCAAGCAAGTGAGTGTACGAGTGAAGTATTTTGCAATCTATTAATATAAAGCACTATTCAAAGACAAATGATTGGAACTGTCACAAAAGTGTAGACTTTAATAAACACTTGAGGGGATAAGAGGACAAGGGTCAGTGATAGGATCAGAGAGCCAGGCCACAGCCTTCTTAACAAGAGCAAATCTAGAAATGCTCTCCGGAGAGACAAAGCTGAGCTTGTGCTTCTCATTAATCTTTTTCTTCAGGTACCTTGGCCTGCCAGATCTCTCGATGACCAGAGGACAAGATCAGTCTGAAGGCATCAGGACCGAAAGCAGCAGTAGAGGGAATCTGTAAACGGAATGAGTCTCCTCCCTTCAGCCTTATGGCAGACTGTATACTCATCAGGGCCAACCCACTAAATAACCACCTGATCCTGGATAAAACATACCTTTGAAGCACAGTGGCAAGTGAAAGATATAAGAGGAATCTCAAGGACTCCACTCCATCTTTCAGTTTTGCTTACCGCTCACTATTTCCAGCTCTGGTTTCAGCTCATGGTTCTATTTTAGGTTGCTGAGGTGTGTGTGTGTGTGTGTCCCCGTGGGGACGGGGGGAGGGTGTACCCTGGTGAATTTGGCTCTTCACTTACCTGCACGATGACAGCGTGGGGACTTCCCTGAACCCTCAAGTTTTGCTGAGAATTTAAAACTCATTGTCCTAGGTGTCCTTCCCACTTTGCATTCTATTATTATCCATAAACCAACAAGCAAGGACATACCTTTCCCAAAAGAGAGGAAGGGGTTGATAATCCCTCTTCTCTCCTCTGGTCTCTCAAAACAGAAGAGGAGACAGACAACCTATTTTTGTCGCTGGTTCTTGGGAGGCTTGCTCTCTAGTCAGTACAGTCTCCAGCCAAGAAAAAGCTTTCTACGTCCTTGGTCCTGTACCAGTTCACCAGGAAAACTGATGAAAAGTACTGAACTTTGGACACGTACTAAGGGAATTCCCTTCTTTGGAAAAAAAAAAAATCCAGGTACACAGCAAGACTGCAGAAGAAGTCAGAGTCCCCTTTGGGCTGTATCCTCAGGGCCTCAAACAGGCAACTTGGGACCTGGGTCCCACAGAGCGTCTTCCCACATCCCCTCTGTGCAAGTGCCCCGTGGTTCACTGTCCTCCGGCTCTAATACTGGCTTCTTCTCTCATGGATATGGAACCTGGCTCCCTGCTGGCTGCTTTGTGACTGGGACCCCATTGGAAGCTATTGCTCAAAACTGTTGCCTGGTTCCAAGATTCATGATGGTGGCGTAGATTGCCCAGTTTGGTGACCAAGGACACTCACTGTCTTTTGGAATCTCTTCCCTCTCCTAGGAAGGAGTTGAGAGATCCAGGACTCAAGCAGTGTTGTAACTATGCCTTTGTAACTATGCCTCCTTCGAGGTGGAAGGAGCCTGAGTATGATTAGAGTCAGAAGTGGGACCAGAAGTTTTGGTGTCAAGTAGAGGGAAAGAAGGTGCACAGTCTGCTCCAAGTTTCAGTCCTGATATCCCTGAGAGGGAGGGGAGGAGTAGGGGTCAAGGTCAACCCCAGTAGAGAGTGAGTCCAGTTGAGACCCACCTGCGCTGGTCCCTCTTGAGCATGTGCATGCATCCAGGAAGAGGAATCTGGTCAAGGGTAGCACTATAGGGGTCATAGTCCAAGGGGGCAGCCTGAGGATAGAGGAACAGGTCAGAAGGTCTCAGGCTTTTCCTTGGTGGTAGGAGTACCAAATCCATGAGAAGGGAAGCCAGTATTCAGAGCCTGGAGGACTGAACCACAAGGGACTTGCACAGAGGGGATGTCGGAAGACGCTATGCCAGCAGTCACCTTTTGCATGGTATAAATGCCATCAGCATGGCCCCGAGCATGTACTACTAAAACCACCAGCCTCCAATCATCCTCCGGCAGAGTGCAGAGCCCTTCCTTTTGGGAAGCTGAAAAGTAATCACAGTGATCCTTCCAAATTGCCATCTTTCCTATCGATTTCCTCATTAGCATAGCGCAAGGGGGCTCCACAAGCACTTGGGTTAAGAACCGTCATTTTGACTTGTAGGCTATTGTGCATTGTAGGCTATTTTCTCCTTTCATGAAAATAGGGGCCAGGTGTGCTGTTAGGAAAAAAAAAATCTTAATAACAAAAGAACTACCTTTGATATCTTATAGGTTGGATGGCTTCCCTCTCTGTGATTTCTCAAGCCTTTTTCCTTTGTGTGTGTGTGTGTGTGTGTGTGTGTGTTGTCATTTTTAAAGTATATCATGCTGATGTTTTTGCCCTTCCTGGCATAACTGCCAACCCCGTTCTACGACAAAGGAAACCATCTAAGTTTTCACATGCCCCACAATGACATTTTCAGATGATTTTGTTAAACCAAGCATAATGGATGTGGTTTGTGGCATCTTCTTGCCTGCCATTGGTTTTAAGGCTCATCCTGTTGATTAAGTTTTTCTCTCTGAAACCCAGATATCTGCACGGACTCCCGGAATTTGACCTCCAGCCAAAGGGTCCCGCTGTTCTTGAGAACCCTCTTTAGACATCATTGCGGATTTTCTGGAACTCTGAGTGGGGGCCCCCAGAGCATGCGCTGAAAGGAATTTCACAGAATAGGAGAAGATGTCATCTCAGAACTGTCGAGGGAAAGGGATAGAACTAGTAGAGATGATATTTTTATATGAATGATTAGCATTTATTGAGTAATTGAATGTGCTAGGGGCCATGTAAAGCACGTTAGTTAATATCAGCAAATGACTATTGGACTCTGACTAGGTGCCAGGACTGTGCTAAGCACGGTACCTGGATTTCATGCTCCCTGCAGCCCTCTTGTCCTCACCACTTTATGACTGAGGAATCTAAGGCTCAGAGTTGTGGTCACATGACACCTAGATCAGTACCTCGCAATACTGAAACACCACAAATGCTAGCTTTTATTATGTAGTTACATATCACTAATGATGACTTATAAAACTCTATTAATGAGTAATCCTTGGGGATAGGCTATGAAATATTCCAAAGGTGGGATCTATACATGTACAAGGCATCGTCTATTATGGTGTATGGCTTATAAAACTAAGTCTTTAAAAAAAAAAAAGATATATGTAGATACTGTGATAATGAGCACAATGCAAACTAATTAAAATTATTGTTTATTCATGGAAGCTTTGGTCATTGGGTGCTTTCTCAGCTACTGAAGTGCAGTTACCACTAAATGAAGCAAACGTGACGGACACCTCTATAGCATTTACTGTGTGCCTGAATTCTTCTAGTATCTGGCATATATCAACTGGTTTTTACTCTTCACAATAACCCTAGGAAGTTGGTTACTTTAATTTGCTGATTTCATCTGTAAAGAATCTAAGTGACATCCCCAGTGACAAAGCCAGTGAGTGGCAGAGCTGGGATTCAGAGTCCAGCCCCCTGCCTCCAGCGCGTCTGCTCTGACCCACCAGGCTGCACGGACCCCTAACCAGCAGCTCTTAAAATGGGTCCTCGCACATGGAAACGTAGGAAAACCATCAGTGCATAAAGAATGAGGTCAGCCCTTCACAGGAGGGATAATAGCAAAGGAAATTCTTCCTGAAGTGCATTACAGTTGGAATAAGGGCGTGTGTCCAGAGCACTCAAAGGCTTAGGCCTGGATCATGGCTGGAGGACAGGATGAGAGCCCAGCCAAGTTCCATCTCCAAATCCCAAGGTGGCTTATCACCAGACACCCCCCTCAGAGACCCATTGGAACAGCCTGGGCAGGACTGACCTGCTACAGCCGGCGGGCGGGCGGGCAGGATGTCTTACTTACCGGCCGGGGCAGGCTGTACTGGTACATTTCTGGGCGGTAGGTCGGCACCCACTGCACCCCAGCTCTGGGCCGCGTCATGGTCCCTGGGGCGCTGGTGACCACCTCGGAGTAGGGCAGGTGCTGTGTGGAGCCGTAGGCCTCCTGGTGCCGGCTCTGGCCCGCGTGGCCCGCGGACGCCAGGCTGAAGGCCTCCTCTAGCAGCATGTGCATCTGCTGCCGGACCTCGTCAATGGAGGGCTGGGAGCTCAGCGTGGACGTCTCAGAGTGGCCCTTCATCTGCCGAGACCTGCCGTAGCCCCGCGGCTCATTAACTCTGTCAATGTTGGTTTCCTCTATGATTTCAGGCTCGGTCTGTGGGATCAAACAAATGCCCCCGGATTTGTTAGTTCACTTTCCTTTCCATTAATGCTGCCGGTGACGTGCTCTCAGCTGGCCAGCTTGGACTGGTGATATCAGGCATGTGGGCCCTATCCAGGGATTCGTGTGATGGGCAGTCAGCTATCATTGCATCGGGAAGGCCGCACCTCCTGTGCACCTCCCTTATCCAGAGCTCCAACAGTGCCTCAGCTTTCCTAATGAGCGTAGGCCCATGAGAAATGGCTTTTCATGGACGACATGAATGGTATTCTCTAAAACCTTTTAGAGATATTCTCTGCCCCTATGCCTGTGAAGTACAAGAAGAATCTAGAGCGTTCTGCAGTCTATTCTCTAGATTCTAGACTAACTCTCTCCATGGTCCTGGGTCCAGCCATTGGTTAGCAAATTGCTGGCTGCCTGATGCCAATTTCAGGAAGAATAGCAAAACCTGCCTCTAGGTCACTGATGTCAAGGTGTACACACTGAGTCAGAAGCTCTGGGGCAGAACACAGCCTCTGTACCTTAGCAAACCAACCCAGAGATCCTGGTGCCCAGTGAAGTTTGAGAATGTTCTCCCACCTTTCTCCAGAGAACCTTTTATTTAGGAATGCAGGAGGTTGGCCAGCTGGGGAGGGGCTGTGGGAGGGCTCCAGGGTGTGGTCAACCCTCTCACTCATTCCCGATCTGCCAGACCCCAGCAGCAAGCTAACCTACTGGTCAACTGTTGGCCCTAGTGGTCTGTGCACATCATAGCAAGCAGTTGAGTGGCCTTAGCATGTCACACTTTGATTGGTTGAACAGATGACTGGGTACTTAGCATATTAGACTTTTATTATATAGGATGGAATTGAAGAGGAAGAATAAAGGACTCTTGAAGCCACATATTCTAGAATTTCCTGAGTTATGAGCCCCAAAGTGGTCCATGTCTTACACAGTCCTCTTTCCGGGATACACACGTGTGTGCAGTATCACACTGTCTCACCCAGGCACTTCATTTCTGGAGCACAAGAATGTGAAGGCTCTCTCCAAAAGGTGCCTCAAGGCAGCGATTTTCAGCTCAGTGTCAACCACAGTTTCACCCAGCCAGGAGAACAGAGATTCTGAACACACTCTGCCACTTCACAGCAAAGGCCAAGTAGGGGTTTCAAGGAGACAGCTTTCTGGCCCATCTGGCCATGATGGACTGCTCTGGCTCCAGGCCCATTTCTCTCCCCACCAAATAAGGCCCTTTGAGCACCATAACACAGTGCTGCTTCTCTGCATTTGGTGCCCGCTTGGGCTGCTTAACAGCCTCATGGCAAGGGCTGCCTGTCACCGGGGAAGCAGAAACATATTTGCAAAGCTTATGTGGAAACCAAGCTGCAGGGAGTTTCCATCTTTTCTGTGGGGAGAGGAGCTCTCAGGGCATGGGGGCACTCAGCAGTTCCGCCCGAGCCAGAATCTCAAAGCTTCTCGGACAACAAAGGGAAACTGCCTCTCAGAGAACAGAGAGGTGGGGGAGGGGGGGGAGAGGGCTCAAAATAAGAGTTTGATGGCTTCCCTTCCGGCACAGGTGGGAACACAACTACTGAGCGAGTCACAACAGCCCGTTTAACTTACGATACAATGGCTGGCTGCCCTGCGTGACCTTAGCAATCCTCTCTGGAAGTGCGGCCAGTGTGGGGGCACTGGGGAGAAGGTCTTGGCACCCTTTACAGAGCCCTTCTGTAGTCCCACCATGCTGGAGAAAGGCGCCATTTGGAAAATACAATCCTCTCTTTGGCGTGTGACAAAATTCATATTTGTTCTGAGATGTCTAAAGTGTTAGAATGGAAAAGGAACAGAAAACAGCATATCCCTCTCCCTCCTCCATGGATTCTGTTAGCCGGCATGGCGACAGCTCATTTAATTCCCACGAGGACCCTATAAGCAGGCACCGTTGGTATCTCCACCTTATAGATGGGAAAGCACAGCGCAGAAGGTGGAGGAACCAGCCCGAATTCACGCTGCTACACCGAGCTGGAACTTGGACGCAGCCCAGATCAAGAGCCCTGAGCATAACTGTTCACAGCAATTCTGAGAATAATCTATGAGCCATTGTCAAGTAATCAAAAATACCTTTTAAGGAGGAATCACCCTGCAAGTAAACACAAAAGAGTGGCCTCTCTCATGGGAAGGCATTTTGCTTCTTGGCTTTGAGGTGCGTCACCACCTGCTTTTTTCCCTCCTCTGAGCTGAGTGGGCACGCCGGTGGCTGGAGACAGAGGGTCCATCTGGACAGTTAACACTGCTCCATAACCACACAGCCTTTCCCTCCGCCAACTCACACCTGCTTGTTCTCCTTCTGAAAAACCCACAGGCTCACAGAATCCCTCTTTGTCATCCTATCTGCCTCTGAAACACAATCTCTACCTTCCACCAGGGCTTCCCGTGCCCCTGGGAATAGTGGCCATTGGATCATCACCACGCTGACCCTCCCCTTTACGGAGGGAGGGTCGGCCCAAGATGAGAGGCTGAGATGGAGGGAGGACCGACAGGGAGGATCATGTGGTTTTGCCCCTTAAAAAGCTCAGCCACCGCCGAAACCGGTTTGGCTCAGTGGTAGAGCTCTCTATCTCTCTCCCTTCCTCTCTGTGAAAAATCAATAAAATATATTAAAAAAAAAAAAGCCCAGCCATCAATCTTTTTCAGGTACGGGGCGCTGTGGATGGGCTCCGAATCCATCCACTCTTCTCCTTGTGTCTCGGAGGGTCTAAGCTGAACCCAGCTCCATTGGTGAGGTCTGATTGAGTTAAATCAATCCGTGTAAGCCTCCTCCCCTTACCCTCACTGCTGGGGTTATTGATATGCTCAGTTAGTGTAAAATCCATAAGCCTTGTTCACATTTGCGAAGAGAAATTCTCTTCTTGCGTTGGCCAAAGCCGTATGTAGATGTGAGGCCCTAGGCTGTGCAGCCATTCCCCCCAGAGAGAACCAACCCACTGATAAAGCCAAGCGTGCAGAGGACAGTGCTGCCGGAGGCAGAGACATGGACCGGAGCCACGGTACCCAACAGTTCCCTTAACGACTTAGGATAGTTTGAGTTGGGTGAGCTTTCTGTTTTTTGTTTGTTTGTTTTTTAATATAATGTGATTTATTTATAAATGAGAACAAATTAACAATGAACACTTTCAGAAGTTGAAAAAGGACACCAGCAGTACTAAATGCATAGCCTTTCAGTTGTCTTCAAATTCGGAGTTTTAATGATATAAAGATGAGTGGTCAATTATGTAACCTAAAAGTATTTGCTTATTAAACTATATTAGTGCTTTCAATAAACTATACAAGAAGATAATGAGACAAACATGTGCATGCATAGAATTGTGCATGTGCATGTATAGAATCCAGCCATGCCAGATCCCCGCGAGGGAATTTCCAACTCCGCCTCGTTCATCTGTGAGGACGAAGAGTACTTCCTGTTTAGACACACACGTTCACCTACTTGTCCAGTCTGGTCAGCCCTCCACTGCTTGATGGCTTCCTTCCGCCATGAAGGTGCATGTCCCGGTGTCTGCTTCTGAGAGCAGACATTCACTTTCCTCCTCCGTCAGCCATTGGAGGCAGACGGGGGGCCACGCAGGTGATTAATTTGACCCATTCTTCTGGGAGGGATTCTGGGGACCCTCTTCCACCATCATATCTGGGATCAGACTAGTTTCTGTAGCCTCTTCCTTTTTTCACATCTTGCTGAAGCAGAGTTTTAAAAAACAAAACCACAGACTCAGCTATTCCCCAGAAGAAATCTGTCATCAAAGATAATCTCCACGGGGACTGACTCCTGCGGTCCAACACACGTACATTCTCGATGCAAATCTTCTCCATCCTGTGCCCCTCCTCTTCAGGTCGACACACTTGTTTGTTCATTTGCTCAGTAAAGAGAGACGCTGCATCTCCTACGCGCCAGCTCCCATTCCGGGTGCTGAGGTTCCCAGCGTGAATAAAACATGATTCCTGTCCTTGAGGAGTCCGATGGGGAATGATGTACATAAACCTGCTTCCTGGCTGGAAGGCTGGGAGTGAGAGCTCTGATTGGCGGGAGTCCCGGGTGCTACCGGAACACCGAGGACAGGCATCTACGTGAGACCCCTGGCGATAAGGTGCCGGAAAAGATTCTGGGGGAGATAATGTTCAACCGAGTTCCGAAAGCAGTGCCTGGACAGGCGGGTGTCCCCTGGGAAAGGGGTTTGCCCCAGGGCACATCTGGTAAGGTCTGAACACTAGTTGGGTTGTCACCATGGGGAGGCGCTACAGACATCTAGCGGGCAGAAGCCAGGGAGGCTGCTAACCATCCTGATGCACAGAACAGCCCTCCAGACAAAGCATCACCCAGCCCCAAATGTCAACAGGGCCAAGGCTGAGAAACCTCGTCCTGCACTGAGCAGGTTGGAAGGAATGTTCAGAGCAGAGGGATGAGCATGTGCAAAGACACAGACACACACACACACACACACACACACACACACACACAGGGTACCACATGACGAATCTGGGAAGGGCACGTGGGGCTGGGCACATGGGGCTAGAGCAAGCGTCGGTTAGAAGGGCAGACCCGGGGCAGCCAGAGGGTGAGTCCTGAGCCGGAAGCTGAGAGTTTGAGTCTATTCCCCGGAGCTGTGGGAGCTAAACAAGGGTTTTTGGTTTTGAATTCCTCTGGTAGTTATTTGGCGGGTTCAGCAGGTGAGTACTGGGGACTGGAACTGGTGGAGGGTGTGGGACAGACAGGCTCAAACCTTCAGGAGGACTCCCTGCTCCCACCCAAGGTCACTGCCACAGCAGAGTGTGTGTGTGTGTGTGTGTGTGTGTGTGTGTGTGTGTACTTGTCAGTCCATAAAAGCACCTTGGACAAGCACTAGAGTTAATCCATCTTTCTCTTCTCCATAGAGCCTCCCACAGGTAGTACACGTGGGGCCCGGACGCTAATGCCGACGGAGAGGTAAATATCACGCATAGTAAAACCTTTGAAAATCCTTAAGTGG